TACAGCACAAAATTGCACAAATTGCCAAGGCAGCAAGTTTAACTCTAGTGAGCTTCATATTCCCCTTCTATTTGTTTGGCTTCCGTATAGAAGAGTCCCAGTCTCACTGCAGAGCTGAGTCCAACATGGTTTTTAGACATACAGTGTGAGCAGGTAGATCGCATCAGAGCATTGTGCTGCACATACATCGTGAGCTGTGAGCTCACACTGTACGACTAAACCCTGCGGTTTAGTCGTATAGTGTGAGCAGTAGCTGTGTGCAATGAGTGAAAAAAAATGCAGTGAACACCCGGGTAGGGTGATAGAGATACGGTGAGGAGCTTGGTCATTCAGGAGAGGGTTAGAGTAGAGCCGCTTATCATCCACATCAAAAGCAGTCAGCTGAGGTGGCTTGGACATCTATTTCGGATGCCCCCTGCACCCCTCTCTCAGGAAATGTTACACATTCCACTGGGAGGAGACCCAGGACATGACCCAGGACATGCTGGAGGGAGAATGTCTCTCAGCTGAACTGGGAGCACTTCAGGCTTCTGCGGAGACAGAAGTCTGGGAGTCTCAACTGAGACTATTCCCTTCAAGACCTGGTCCCGGATGAAGCTGGAGATGATGAGTATGCATACATGTCAGTAAAGACAGCTCACCTAAGAAAAGTGCAACAATGCTTTTACCTTTCAAACTGTTTTACTGTACCTTAAAACTGTTTAAAAATAGAGTAGTAGCCATTCAAACTTTCCCCACTTTCCTTGATGGGCCTTCGGCTGGTCCCCTATGATTTTAGAACCCATGCCCCACTACAGCATTCACACCGCCAGATTTTCATTACATTGCTTCTTGGAAAAATTGTAACCACAGGTTGACACATATACATAGATGTCATATATAATACAAAAAATATTCTGTCATGATTTGTGGACATAAAGATCTTAAGAGAAGTGTCATCTCCTGGTGTGACCCTGTATAGGGCTGGTTATACTTCCGTGTGTCACAGTGAGCTTGTGGCAGATATCTTTTATTTATGCCCAATTTTGTCCATCCTATGTCATTCCATGCCACAACATAAGAGGGACAATCATGAACTAGCTGTGGATCTAGATACAGCCAAGGCGGTAGGGAAGTACAAGAACTTTTGGAGAGGTGCACCAGAGTGTCTGTGGAAGGGGCGGGGGCATATTTGCGTTCACTGCTATACACATGCAGACAACCTGGTTTCTGAGTATAAACCAGTCTTAATTCAGTAAAAGGGTGGAGTCAGAGTAAAAAGATATGCAAGAGGGGGTCACTCCAGTGGCGGGAAGTTGACTGCCATTCGGCTGGTGTAAGACTGGGAAAGGCTATTTTGAATGGCTGCTACTGTACACAAACCATATTTTTTTCTTGGTTTCTGACACCAGCTTAAACTAAACTAACTAGAATATTGTTAGCTTCTTAGATCTTATGTTCATTTGTTTAATGTTATATTCAATCCCCTGATTCTCTTGTGTCATTTGGAAGTCAAGAGAACATACAGCAAACAATATATTCAATGAAAGAAACCTACCCTATTCCAACTTGCTTCCACTTACTTTCATGAGTTTCATGTAAAAAACAAACAAATAAATCATTTATTTTTTTAAAGTGTATCCTCCATCTAAAATTGTTATTCTGTGATTAAAGGGACAGTGTGCAAGATTTACCCCAATCTAGTGGTGCACTAAATGAAATGCAAATAAAGGACTAGTGCCTCCTCATCAATGGTGTGAGACCTACTATGGAAACTGCAAAGGTCCATTCTAATCTTTCTGAATCCTTCTGAAGAGGACTCTTCAATCTCTGTAAACCATGTCAAATAAGCCAAAATAAACAATGAAACACTGGGAGTGTTGCTCTGAAAACAGGGCTGAAAGAAGCCTATATGCTCATTAGCTGGTATGACATATGTGAAGAAAAACAGCAGCTGATAACTGTTGCACTGGAGCTTGTCTACTGTAGGCCAATGAAAAAACAGCCGCCCCTGCTGGGGGGCAGACTACTTTTCCGGACTACACCGTCCTATTTCAAAGAGAACTCTAAAATAAACTTCACTGCTACTGTTCACTGAATCACCTTACCTGTCCAGTAGAAAGCCTAAAACCTCTGCATCCGTTTGAGGCCCCACTCCCTCCTAAATTGTCTCCACTTAGTAAAAGCTGCTCAGAAAAAGACTCTAGTTTTCTCCTGGTTTTTACTTCTTTTTAGTTTTT